TTGGTGTCAATTTTAGTGTAAGGTGTCAGGAAGGGGTCCGGTTTCAGCTTTCTGCACATAGCTAGCCACCTTTCCCAACACCATTTGTTAAACAAGGAATCCTTTCCCCATTGCTTGTTTTTGTCAGGTTTGTCAAAGATCAGATGGTTGTAGATATGTTGTGTTGCCTCCGAGGCCTCTGTTCTGTTCCATACGTCCATATCTCTGTTTTGGTACCAGTACCATGCTGTTTTGATTACTGTAGCCTTGTAGTATAATTTGAAGTCTGGTAGTGTGACGCCTTCTGTTGTGTTCTTTTTGCTTAGAATTGATTTGGCCATGCGGGCTCTTTTTTGGTTTCATATAAAGTTTAAGGTGTTTTTTTCTAGTTCTGTGAAGAAGGTCGTTGGTAGCTTGATGGGGATAGCATCGAATCTGTAAATTACTTTGGGCAGTATGGCCATTTTCACGATATTGATTCTTCCTAACCATGAACATGGAATATTTCTCCATCTGTTTGTGTCCTCTCTTGTTTCGTTGAGCAGTGGTTCGTAGTTCTCCTTGAAGAGATTTTTTACATTCCTCGTTAGTTGTATTCCCAGGTATTTTATTCTCTTTGTAGCAATTGTGAATGGCAATTTGTCTTCGATTTGGCTTTCTTACAGTCTGTTTTTGGTGTATAGGAATGCTTGTGATTTTTGCACATTGATTTTGTATCCTGAGACTTTGCTGAAGTTGCTTATTAGTTTCAGGAGGTTTGGGGCTGAGACAATGGGATCTTTTAGATATACAATCATGTCGTCTTCAAATAGAGACAATTTGGCTTCCTCTTTTTCTATTTGAACACCCTTTATTTCTTATTCTTGCGTGATTGCTCTGGCTAGAACTTCCAGTACTATATTGAATAGGAGTGGTGAGAGAGGGCATCCCTGTCTAATGCCAGATTTCAAAGAAATGCTTCCAGTTTTTCTGGGTACTCCTGTATTGGGTGAGTATATATTTAGGATTATTAGCTCTTCTTGTTACATCGATCCATTTACCATTATGTAATGTCCTTCTTTGTCTCTTTTGATCTTTGTTGCTTTAAAGTCCGTTTCATCAGAGACGAGAATTGCAACTCCTGCTTTTTTGTTTTTTATTTGCTTGTTAAATTGTTCTCCATTTTTTTATTTCGAGCCTTTGTATATCCTTGTGTGTTAGATGGGTTTTCTGTATACAGCACACTGATGGGTTTTGGCTTTTTATCCAATTTGCCAGTCTGTGTCTTTGTATTGGGGCATTTAGCCCATTTACATTTAGGTTTAATATTGTTACGTGTGAATTTGATTCTGCCATTTTGATGTTAGCTGGCTGGTTTGCCCGTTAGTTGATGCAGATTCTTCATTTTGTTGATGCTCTTTAGTATTTGGTATGTTTTTGGAATGGCTGGTATTGGTTGTTCTTTCTGTGTGTAGTGCCTTTTTCAGGAGCTCTTGTAAAGCATGCCTGGTGGTGACAAAATCTCTGAGTCCTTGCTTGTTCTCAAATAATTTTACTTTTTCTTCACTTATGAGGCTTAGTTTGGCTGAATATGAAATTCTGGGTTGAAAGTTTTTTTCTTTAAGGATGTTGAATATCAGCCCTTACTCTCTTCTGGCTTGTAGGGTCTCTGCTGAGAGATCTGATATGAGTTTGATTGGCTTTCCTTTGTGGGTAACCGGACCTTTCTCTCTGGCTGCACTTAGCATTTTCTCTTTCATTTCAACCCTGGTGAATCTGATGATTATGTGTTTTGGGGTTGCTGTTCTTGAGGAATATTTTTATGATGTTCTCTGTATTTTCTTAACTTGAATATTGGCCTGCCTTACTAGGTTGGGAAAGTTTTCCTGGAAAATATTCTGAAGAGTATTTTCCAGCTTGTATTCATTCTCCTCGTCACTTTCAGGTACACCTATCAAATGTCTTTTCACATAGGTTCATATTTCTAGGAGACATTGTTCGTTTCTTTTTACGCTTTTTCCTCTAATTTTGCCTCCTCGTTTTATTTCATTGAGTTGATCCTTGACCTCTGATATCTTTTCTTCTGCTTGGTCAGGTCGGCTGTTGAAACTTGTGCATGCTTCACAAAGTTCTCATGTTGTGTTTTTCAGCTCCATCATTTCACTCATATTTCACTCTAAGTTGTCCATTCTCATTAGCGTTTCATCAAATCTTTTTTAAGGTTCTTAGTTCCTTTGCATTGGGTTAGAACATATTCTTTTAACTCAGAGAAGTTTCTCATTACCCACCTTCTGAAGTCTGATTCTGTCATTTCATTACACTCATTCTCCATCCAGCTTTGTTGCCTTGCTGATTAGGAGTTGTGATCCCTGTTAGGAGGAGAGGTGTTCTTGTTTCGGGTGTTTTTCTTTTCTTTTTTTTTTTTTGCGCTGGTTTCTTTCTATCTTTGTGGATTTATCCACCTGTCGTCTTTGTAGTTGCTGATTTTCATATTGGGTCTCTAAGAGGACGTCCAGTTGATGATGAAGTTATTTCTGTTTTTTATTTTTTCTTCTAACCATTTGGCTTCTCTGCTGTAGGACTGCAGAGGTCCACTACAGGCTCTGGTTGCCTGGGGATCACCTCCAGCAGCTGCAGAACAGTAAGGGTTGCTACCAGTTTTTTCTTCTGCTCTCTTTTTCTCAGAATGATGCCTGCCAAATGTCAGTCTGATCAGTCCTTTGTGAGGTGACTCTTTGGATATACAGGGGTCAGGGAGCTGCTTAAGGAGATAGTCTTTTGTTTATAGGAGCTCAAGTGCTGAGCTGTGAGCTCTGTTGTTCAGAAATGCTGGGCAGGTATGTTTAAGTCTGCATCAGCAGAACTCATAACCCTTCCCCTTCTTTTTTTTTTCCATGTTCTCCATCCCAGCGAGTTAGGGCTTTATTTATGAGTTTTTGTTATGCTGCTGCCTTTTTTTTCAGGGCTGCCCTGCCCAGCAAGGAGGCAGTCTAGTTACCATCTGCCTGCAGAGGCTTTGCTGAGCTGCTGTGGGCTCCACCCTGCTGCCATGTAAACTTCTCTGCAGTCCTGTTTATATGGGTATGGTTAGAACTGCCTCGGCAATGGTGGTCTGCCCCTGTAATGGTGAACTCTCTCTGTTATGGCGGGTTGCCTCGGCAATGACAGGCTGCCTCAGGAATTGCAGACTATTGCCATAGGCGTGGAAAGCCTCAGTAATGGTAGATGCCTTTTCCCCACAAATTTGGACTGTCCCAAGTTCAGCTGTGCTTGCCGTGAAACTCTCGACCCAAAGTGTTTTCAATTGCTTTTCTTTTGTTTTTCATGGAGGGTGGGACCTGCTGAGCCTGATCACCTGGCTCCCTGCTTCAGAGGCTTTTTTTCTTAAGTTAAACCGTTTACTCTCTCCCAGGTGTTCCAGTCGCCTGTTGGAAAGGTGCCAGGATCTGTGTGATTTCCTGTGCTGTGACCCACTGTGCTGGCTGAAACAATGGCACTGCCTGGGAATCTCCTGGCCTGTCTCCCTGTTTCTGTCCTCTGTTTAATCAGATGAGTGGGTGACTCTGCCTTTTCAGAGCTCCAATCGCCAGCTTAAAAGGGCAACCAGACCAGTGTATTTTGTACAGGGAACTGCTGCACTGGGGTGCCAGCAAAATAGCTGCACTGGCCGAGATAGCCATGCTGGTGACCCGTGGAGCTCCTCTGCCTGGGAATCTCTTGGTCTGTGGGCAATAAATATCTGTCTGGAAATGAGGTGTCCACTCACCTTCTGCACTTTCACTGGGAGCTGCAATCCTGAGTTGCTTCTAAACTGCCATCTTGGATCCAGGACCACAGAATTTTCTTATCATCTACCTTCTGAAGACTACTTCTGTTAATGGAACACACTCATTATTTATCAGACCTTGTTCTGTTGCTGATGAGGAACTGTGATCCCCTTTAGAGGGAGAGGCATTCTGATTTTTGGTATTCTCAACCTTTTTAGACTGGTGTCTTCCCCTCACTATAAATTTATTCATCTGTCGTCTTTCTAATTGCTGACTTTCTAATTAGATCACTGAGTGGCCATCCAACTTGTTAATTCCCAGTGGAGCTGGAATCTGAGCAACCCACTGTGCCAGCTAAAACAGAGGCATTAAGATTTATGGTTCTTTTCTGTCTGGGATTCTTCGGTCTGGCTTCCTTCTTGAGTCCCTTCTTCAATCAGCTGAATAGGGCACTCTGCCTTCCCAGAGCTCCAAATGTTATCCAGAAGGGGAGCCAGTCCCATTTACTCTGCACCAATAACTGCCATGCCGAGGTGCTGGCAAAACCACCTTGCCAGCCACAAGAGTCATGCTGGTGACCCACGGGACTCCTATACTGGGAATCTCCTGGTCCGTGAGCCAAAAAATTTGTCTGAAAGTGTGGCATCCTGTCCTTCTCTGTGCTTTCACTTGGAGCTACAATCTCGTGCTCCTAGTGATCAGCCATTTTGGATCTCTCTCTCCTGGTCTTTAACTTTTGATCTCAAGTGATCCACCCTCCCAAAGTGCTGGAATTACTGGCATTAGCCACCACACCTGGCCCATTTTCTAAATATTTAAAATTACTGTTAAAAATTAGTTTTCTGAAGTTAATATACTAAAATATTCAATTACATTCTCTTTACTGAGCATATTATTTGAAGAATATGAGCAACATTTATGTTATGTATGTATGTATGTATGTATGTATGTATGTATGTATGTATTTTGAGATGTAGTTTCACTCTTGTTGCCCAGGCTGGAGTCCAATGGCATGATCCCGGCTTATTGCAACCTCTGACTCCCAGGTTCAAATGATTCTCCTCCCTCAGCCTTGTAGTAGCTTAGATTATAGGCATTTATCACCACGCCTGGCTAATTTGTGTTTTTAGTAGAGACAGGGTTTCTCCATGTTTGTCAGGCTGGTCTCGAACTCCCAATCTCAGGTGATCTGCCTGCCTTGGCCTTCTAAAGTGCTGGGTTTACAGGAATGAGTCACTAAGCCCAGCCTCATGTTATTTATTTTTAATAAAACAGGTATTGTTGTCGCTAAGTTAGATTTTATCACCTGTCTGGAGCAAGAAAAAGAGCAGTGGAACATGAAGCGACATGAGATGGTGACCAAACCCCCAGGTAGGTGAGAGTGAACACAACTGACAACACAGATGAGAAATTCCAAAGGTCAAGGAGAAAGCCAGTCTTTTAAATAGAATCTGGAAAGCTGTGTTCCAAAGAAAATAGTTTCAGGGAAGTCTGAGATTTTAAAAAAAATTTTATTCTCATATAGGAGCATCTTCTGTCTTATGTTTTTAAATTCTCAAAGGATGCTACTTTCCCTCTTGTGATCTTTTTTCAAGTTTACAGTGACAGCCAAAGTCTTCTTCGTGGCATATAAGAGACTGCACAGTTAGCGGGGCATGGTGGCTCACACTTCTAGTCCCAGCACTTTGGAAGATCATGATGTCAGGAGTTTGAGACCTGCCTGACCAACATGGTGAAATCCAGTTTCTACTAAAAATACAAAAATTAGCTGGGCATGGTAGGGCACACTTGTAATCCCAGCTACTCAGGAGGCTGAGGCAGGAGAATCACTGGAACCTGAAAGGCAGAGGTTTTGTTGACCAAAATTGTGCCACTGCACTCCAGCTTGGCCAACAGAGCAAGACTCTGGCCAAAAAAAAAAAAAAAAAAAAGACAGAAGAATAAAAAAAAAAAAGAGACTGCATAATTTACTTTTTCACATTTTCAAGAAAGCCATAAATGTTTGCATAATTTATAAAACTCAATGTTAGGCTGGGCAAATGTCTCATGCCTGTAAATCCAGCACTTTAGGAGGCCAAGACAGGTGGATTGCCTAAGGTTAGGAGTTCGAGACCAGCCTGGCTGACATGGTGAAACCTTGTCTCTACAACATATACAAAAAAATTGCTGGGCGTGGTGACATATGCCTGTACTCTCATCTACTCAGGAGGCTGAGACAGGAATATCACATGAACTAGAAAGGCAGAAGTTGTAGTAAGTCAAGCTTGCGCCATTGCACTCTAGGTTGGGTGTAAAGAGCAAAAAAAAAAAAACCTCTATCTGAAAGGTAAAAAACAAAATAGGAAACAATGAAACCAAAAACTAACAAAAAATTATGTTAAGCTAGTTTTTAGGTTATCTTGTTTTATGTCTAAAATATGTGAGAGTAATGGTTTCTGTTTCATTTTTTTTTGTTCATTTTCTGCATAATCCACAATGGGTTTTTGTTTTGTTTTGAGAGAGAGTCTTGCTCTGTCCCCCAGGCGGGAGTACAGTGGCATGATCTTGGTTCACTGCAACCTCCACCTTTCAGGTTCAAGCAATTCTACCTCAGCCTTCTCAGTAGCTTGAACTACAGGTGCATGCTGCCATGCCTGGCTAAATTTATTTTGTATCTTAGTAGAGATGAAGTTTCACCATGTTGCCCAGGCTGGTCACGAACTTCTGAGCTTGGACAATCCACCTGCCTTGGCCTCCCAACCTGCTGGGATTGCAGGCGGGAGCCACCGTGCCCAATCCCATCTTGTTTTTATTAATATAATCTTGAAATATAGTTTGAATTAAGTATGACACCCTCCTGGTTTGTTCTTTCTTTTTTTTTTTTGAGATGGAGTTTTGGTCTTGTTGCCCAGGCTAGAGTGCAATTGCACGAATTTGGCTCACTGTAACCTCTGCCTCCTGGGTTCAAGTGATTCTCCACGTCCAGTTAATTTTTCTATTTTGAGTAGAGACAGGGTTTCAACTTGTTGCTAAGGCTGGTCTTGAAGTCATGACCAAATGATCCACTCTTTTTGGCCTTCCAAAATGCTGGGATTACAGGCATGAGCCACTGCGCCTGGCCTATATACGTTTTTTTTTTTTTTTGGTGTTGTCCAGCATGATTTTATTTTTCAGGAAAATGGACTCATCTTCGAATTTCTTTTTATTTATATGCTGTCTCACTGTGTTGCTCAGGCTAATATTGAACTATTCTGGTCCCAAATTATTTGACTGTCTTGGCCTCCTAATGCTATAGAATTATAGGCATAAGCCACTGTGCCTGGCCACCATGTAGCATTTGTTGTAGAACTGTGCTAGTGGGGATGAATTCCCTCATCTTTCATTTTGGAAAGTCATTCTTTTTATCTTGTTTTTGATGTAAAATAATTTTGAATAAAATATTATTGGTTAGAATTTGTCTTTTTGTTTTTTGTTTTCTGAGATGGAGTCTTTTTCTTGCACAGGCCAGAGTGCAGTCTTACAATCTCTGTTCATTGCAACCTCCACCTCCCGGGTTCAAGTGATTCTCCTGCCTCAGCCTTCCAAGTAGCTGCGAATACAGGCATGTAACACCATGTCTGGTTAATTTTATTTATTTTTATTTGTAGAGATGGGGTTTCACTGTGTTAGCCAAAATGATCTCAATCTTCTGACCTCATGATTTGCCCACCTTGGCCTACCAAAGTCCTAAGATTATAGGTATGAGCCACCATGCCCAGCCAGAATTTTTTTATTACATCAAAATTGGTTAAATTCTCAAACTTTGTTGTCTTCAATTAATCTCTGTATTACTTTTTCCTCATATTATTCTTCTAAAAATTTTTTCATAAATATATTGAACTACTTTATGTTGTCCAGTAAGTGTTATATTGCATGTTTAATGTTGTTTTGAAATTTTACATCTGTGTTATATATTTTAGAATATACCACGTTATATCAGTTGTTTTGAAATTTTAGTTTATAATAGTGTATGACAATACTGAAGTTTATACAATTTAAGAATTTGTAGAGCAGAATCAAATATAAATAATTCATATGTGTCTTGACAATATACTTATCTTTATGTTTGATTTTTATAAATATTGTCTGTGTTTTTTATAACTTGTATATTTTTGTGTAGGTATTTTGTGAATGATTGTTTAATCTTTTGTGGGTAAGCAGTCATAAAAATGTTACTAATTTTAACATCTATTTATTTGTGGACAGCTGTTAGTTTTGTGTAAAAAGAATATTGGATTTGACAGTAATTTTTAAACTATTGAAACTTTATTTAGTAAATATTACCGTTTATTTTTACTTGTCAAAAACATATAACAATATTTACAATCAAATACATATGTACTTTTTAATTGCATTTTAGGTTTTGGGGTACATGTGCAGAACATGCAAGATAGTTGCATAGATACACACATGGCAGTGTGCTTTGCTGGCTTCCTCCCCTTCACCCACATTTGGCGTTTCTCCACAGGCTATTTCTCCCTAGCTCCCCCACTACTGTCCTTCCCCTATTCCCCCAAATAGACCCCAGTGTGTAGTACTCCCTTCCCTGTGTCCATGTGTTCTCATTTTCCTCACCCGCCTATAAGTGAGAATATGCGGTATTTCATTGTCAGTTCATTCTTGTGTCAGTTTGCTGAGAATGATGTTATCCAGATTCATTCATATCCCTACAAAAGACACGAACTCATCGTTTTGGATTGCTGCATAATATTCCATGGTGTATATGTGCCACATTTTCTGAGTCCAGTCTATCATTGATGGGCATTTGGGTTGGTTCCAGGTCTTTGCTATTGTAAACAGTGCTGCAATGAACATTCGTGTGCATGTGTCCTTATAGTAGAATAATTTGTAGTCCTTTGGATATATACCCAGTAATGGGATTGCTGGGTCAAATGGAATGTCTATTTCTAGGTCCTTGAGAAATTACCACACCATCTTCCACAATGGTTGAACTAATGTAAACTCCCACCAACAGTGTAAAAGTGTTCCTATTTCTCCACATCCTCTCCAGCATCTGTTGTCTCCAGATTTTTTAATGATCACCATGCTAACTGGCGTGAGATGATATCTCAATGTGGTTTTGATTTGCATCTCTCTAATGACCAGTGATGATGAGAATTTTTTCATATGTTTGTTGACCTCATGCATGTCTTCTTTTGTAAAGTTTCCGTTCATACCCTTTGCCCATTTTTGAATGAGCTTTTTTGTTTTATTTTCTGTAAATCTGTTTGACTTCTTTGTAAATTCTGGATATCAGCCATTTGTCAGATGGGTAAACTGCAAAAATTTTTTCCCATTCTATTGGTGGCTGATTCACTCTAGTGACTGTTTCTTTTGCCGTGCAGAAGTTGTAAAGTTTGATTAGGTCCCATTTTTCTATTTTGGCTTTTGTTGCCAATGCTTTTGGTGCTTTGGTCATGAAGTCTTTGCCTACTCCTGTGTCCTGAATGGTTTTGCCTAGATTTTCTTCTAGGGTTTTGATGGTGTCAGGTCTCATGTTTAAGTCTTTAATCCATCTGGAGTTAATTTTAGTGTAAGGTGCCAGGAAGGGGTCAAGTTTCTGCTTTCTGCACATGGCTAGCCAGTTTTTCCAACAGCATTTATTAAACAGGGAGTCCTTTCTTCATTGCTTGTTTTTTTTCAGGTTTACCAAAGATTGTATGGTTGTAGATATACTGTGTTGCCTCCGATGCCTCTGTTCTGTTCCATTGGTCTATATCTCTGTTTTGGTACCAGTACCATGCTGTTTTGATTACTGTAGTCTTGTAGTATTGTTTGAAGCCCAGTAGTGTGATGCCTACGGCTGTATTTTTATTGCTTAGAATTGACTTGGCTATGTGGGCTCTCTTTTGGTTCCATATGAAGCTCATGATGGGTTTTTCCAGTTCTGTAAAGAAAGTCAATAATAGCTTGATGGGGATAGCGTTGAGTCTGTAAATTACTTTGGTCAGTATAGACATTTTCACGATATTGATTCTTCCTAACCATGAAGATGGAATGTTTTTCCATTTGTTTGTGTCCTCTCTTATTTTGTTGAACAGTGGTTTGTAGTTTTCCTTGAAGAGGTCGCTTACCTTCCTTGTAAGTTGTATTTCTAGGTATTTTATTCTCTTTTTAGCAATTGTGAATGGCAGTTTGTTCTTGATTTGGCTCTCTTTAAGTCTGTTATTAGTGTAGAGGAATGCTTATGATTTTTGCACATTGATTTTATATCCTGAGACTTTGCTGAAGTTGTTTATCAGTTTCTGGAGTTTTTGGGCTGAGGAGATGGGGTCTACTAGGTATACTATCATGTCGTCTGCAAATAGAGACAATTTGGCTTCCACCTTTCCTATTTGAATAACCTTTATTTCTTTTTCTT